AAGAAATGGGAATAGGGTCTTGTTGACCTGTGAGACAACACTAAGAGGTCTAAAAATTTTGTAACTGGACTTCTAAAAAGGGAGGGAAAATAAAATGGAGATAAAACATTACTTTAAAAAATAATGGTAGGGGGCCTGCACTGTGGCATAGTGGGTAAAGTTGCCACCTACAGTGCGGGCATCCCATATGGGCACTGGTTCAAAACCCAGCTGCTCCACATCTGATCCAACTCTCTGCTATGGTCTGGGAAAGCAGTAGAAGATGACCCAAGTCCTTGGGCCCCTGCACCTGTGTGGGAGACCTGGAGAAAGCTCCTGGCTCCTGAGCTGAAAACTAGATGAGCAGATCAGAACAGCACTGCAGTAGTGAACCATAGTTTCCAAAAATGAGCTAAAACATGAGTTCTGAACCAACAGAAGATGTAAATAGGAACTAGAGTCTTGTATCAGCTTAGTGAGAACCTGTCTGTCTCTGCTTCTCTCTCTCTCTCTCCCCCTCTCAAAGACTTAAAAAAAAAAACAGTAAATTTATTTTCATGTAAAAATATTTTGAAATCAGTGCATACAGCGGTCCTCAAAAAGTTGCTAATGAGGACCTTGGGAAGCAGTAGTAATGGCTCAAGTAATTGAGTTCCTGCCACCCACAAAGGAGGACAGGATTTTGTTCTTGACTCTCAGCCCCAGCTTTGGCCAGCCATAGTCATGCCAAGCATTTGGGGAATGAACCCGTAGATGGGACGACATCTCTCTCTCATAAATAAATATTTAAGTACATTTTTGAAAAATTTATGGAAAATGTATATTTTGAAAAAATAATGCATGGATTTAAAAAAAAGTATGCCAAAATAAACTTGTCTTTTAATTCATTTTTCCAGAAATTTTCTGAATTACCTTCACATGTATGTGTGTATGTGTATGTGTGTGTGTCTGTATATTTCTATGAACTGTTGTAGGGATGTAATTTAATTAAACAATTGACAATGTATAAAGGGAGACATTACCTGGTTAACAAAATCCTTGCAAAAAGAAACAAATGGATTGCATTCCAAATGTATTTCATGAAAATATACATGGCAGAAAATGAAAGAAAACACCCACTGATAATTCAATGAACAAAACTAAGGGCTCCAACAGTATTTACTTGTTATTCTGAAAGAATCAGTTTAGAAAATTTGGAGACAATATCATCACACATATTATTCATATACTGTAAACATTTTCCCCATATCAAAATGCTATATCCCCCAAAGTAATTTTGCAATGAAGCAGATGCTGAGGAGGAATCAGAAGACTAGATGACATAAATTTTTTTTAAATCTCTTCAATTAAACTATTCTTTTAGTATCAACTCAATAGAGCTAAATATTTCACCATCAAAATTGAAGTATTTTTTGACCTGTAGGTTAAGCACTGTCTCTTTCAGAACTCAGAAGGAATATCAAATATTGCATATATTTAAGTCTTCCTTCAAGTGTGATCCAAGGACAATTGACATAAGGACGCCTAGGCCCCACTGTCCTGAGATTGATTCAGCACATTACAAGTAGCAACACCCAGATGATTCTTGCAAGTGTTGAAATTTGGGTAACTTACTAGTATAATAAACGAACAGGGTATCTAATAAAACTACATCACACAAAGTCAGAATAATTTACACTGTGAGAGGGCATTATGCTCAGGCCAGCACTCCAACAGTAAGATACTGGAATGGAAACTGGACTTATTATTCTTGACTCTTCTCACTCTTTTTTTTTTTTAATTTTTTAAAATTCATTTGACAGGTAGAGTTATAGACAGTGAGAGAAAGACAGAGAGAAAGGTCTTCCTCCCGTTGGTTCACTCCCCAAATGGCATGCTACAGCCATGGCTGTGCCGATCTGAAGCCAGGAGCCAGGTGCTTCTTCCTGGTCTCCCACACGGGTGCAGGGACCCAAGCACTTGGGCCATCCTCCACTGCCCTCCCGGGCCACAGCAGAGAGCTGGACTGGAAGAGGAGCAACCAGGACTAGAACCTGGTGCCCATATGGCATGCCATCACCGCAGGCGGATGATTAACCAAGTGAGTCACGGCGCCGGCCCCAACTCTTCTCACTCTTACAGCAAGGATTTATCTCCTGAATTTGTCCATTTCTTTCCATCTCCACTGCTACTCCCTATTATTCACACCAAAATTATCATGTTCTTATATTATTACAATAGCCTCCTAATTAACCATCCTGCTTCCAATCTATCTTCATGCTGACCTCAGAATATACTTCCCTCAAAATGCCAAATCTCAAGAGGTCACTATCTAAAATGGTTCAGTGACTTTCCATTGCCCTCATGGTAAGATGTAAACTACTATAGCTGGATGTTTAATTTTTCAATATACTAAAATTCTTTTTCTTTCTTACTCTAGTCCCTCTCAAATACCACTGTTCCTATGACATCAAACCAATATTTTCAGTATTTGAATACTAGCATGTTATTACCCACCACCCATGGCTCACCACTGACTAACATGCTGGTTTTTCAACTTCACTGTTTGAGCTGCTCAAAGGAAGTTTTATACTGGATACTCATACAGTAAAACTGATCTGTGTGGAGTTTCTCTGGTTGTAGGTAGTAAAGATCAGGAACTCAACACACACACTTCTTTTATACCTCACATTAATCCCTAAGGGAGCTCCATGAAAACAAATTTTAAATTATTGAAATCTAGATACTTTTACATGTCAAACACAGATCTGGTCTGAGAATATCTTTTCTGTCAAGTTCCTGGTACTATCCCATGGAAATTCTTATTGACATTGCACATACGCATTTATACTCTGCTGTACAAGAAGCTCCTTTTGCCTGCAACTCTCTTCCTCCAACCTGTCTCCTCAGAGAACTACAAATCCTTGCAGTCTCAGCTCTCTAAACAATGGCCTGTAGGCACAGCTATGTTCGGCAGTTAGCCACACCTTCACAGGCCATGTACCAAACAAACCTCCTGTAGAGCATTACCACACTGTACTACAAATAGAAGTCTCACAGTCTGATTCTCTACTAGACTTCCAACAACCTGAGTGAAAGTCCATACCTCTTTTTTATGTTTCCATTTCCAGTTTCTAGAACACTGTCTGATGAGTAGTATATACTTAAAGCCTCTTGAATATGGGAATATATATTAAAATGTAGTCTCAAGTTTCCAAAAAATTATCACTACCTATTCATTCTACTTAGTTTACTGTTCCAGAATTAAACATTATTTAAAAAATGATGTGGTATTTAATGAAGTAATTATTTAATTCAGTTATCTAGATCAATTTAATCCTCTAAATTTTAAAATTATAATTTTAAAATTATAATCAAATTGAATTATTATGAATATCAACTATGTTCTATAGATAATAAAGAATCATTAAACTATAAAATCTTAAAAACTAGGGGGTAAAGAATAGCATATATGAAATTAAGATGGACAAAATAAGAGCATAAATATTATAAAAATGAGACTATGTATTATATGGAATTAGAATTATTGATAGAAAATGTTCCTAGTGATGAGATGATCTGATCTAACATCCTGCTATAACTGAGAAAAAAAGAGACCTAGCTAAGAGATAGTAGGAAAATACATAAACAGGAGCCAGTGTTGTGGTGCAGCAGGTTAAGCTTTCCCCTGCAATGCCAGGATCCCATGTGAGCACCAGTTCCTGGCTGTTCGACTCCCAATCCAGCTCCCTGCTAATGTGTCTGGGAAAGCAGTAGAAGATGGCCCAAGTACTTAGGCCCCTGCACCCATGGAGGAGACCTGGACAAAGCTCTGGCTTCTGACTTAGACCTGGCCCAGCCCATTGAAGTCATTTGGAAAGTGAACTAGGAGATCTAAGATCTCTATGTCTCTCCCTCTCTCTCTGTAACTCTGCCTTTCAAATAAATAAATAAATCTTCAAAAAAAAAAAAAAAAAAAAGAAGCAAACTTTAGGCGGTCTATAATCATGTAAAAGGAACTCAAACATGAGATGGACTTTAAAAAATGGGTAGAATTCAGTACATGTAAGATAGAGGTAAGAATATTCCACAAAAAGAAAAGTTGGGTGAGGATTTGAGTTAGGAGTCAGTAAAGGTTTGTGAGCCATTGTTCAGCCTGATTAGAACACACACACAAATCAGGGAGCTACAGAGAAAACAACTGTATGGATTATATGTTACCTGATTTCAGAGAGTTTCTAAAGTCAGACAGAGGACTTCATATTTCAACTGAAAGAAGACAAGTAACCAGAAAACCTAATAGATCATTTATAACTAGAAAGCTCTCAAAATTCTGAAGCTAACTACCTTATTTTGAATTTGAGGAAAATAAGCCATAAAACAAATATGTGATTTCCTCACAATTAAGAACAGTATGAAATAGTCCACTCAACCTTTTTCTGCCACATAATACTCTTGCATTGGGGGCATTTCAACAGAACAACCCCTCTTCAATATCAATGGGTAGATGCTGTTGTGCTTGGCTGCTTGCCTACTTCTAAACACGGTATGTAGAAGGAAGGCATATTCTCTGGGGAGGAAAAATTCTCAGATCTATTCAAATATGAATTCTTAACAAAGAGATATCCTTTGGTTTAACAATGACCATTTTAAATCTTACTACTAAATCCTTATGAAAAAGATGCAAAAAAAAATTTTGTATAAAACATACTGACAGTAAAAAAAAAAAAAGTTGAATTCTGAACTCTCCAAATTGAAAGGGCATATATTTTAATGCTTTAACCACTTAATTATCCTTTATACCGATGCTCAAAATAAGTATTTCCAGAAAGACAAATAGTAGTGAACATGCCCTTTCTTGAGATGTAAAGTTTGTTTTGTCTCATAAAACTGGAATTGATTGAACCAACCTATTAAAAAGAAAAATCAGAGTCAGTCAAATCCATTCACTGAAATGATTTTTTGAAGACTGAGAACCATGTGTATTGTATATTACCATATTTATGACAGTACATCTGTGATTGCTCACCACCGTAACTTACCCCAGTTTTATCACATAAGCGTAAAGTATGAAACGATCCAACAGCAAATAAGTCTCCATCTGGAGCCCAGGCAACTGAGGTAATAGGATGCTCATGAGGTTGTGAATTGTACAGTAGGCGGCCATAACTATCCCATACCTACAAAAGCAAATTTTAAAAAATTCTTTATAACAGTCACCACATTATTCCAAACAAGTTTGTGCTCCAAATTAAACTAAATAAAGATTTAGGAATCATCGCTTTTCAAGATTAGCAATTAAATGTTTTTACTCATACAAGGTGGGGGGGGTGAAGGTATATTCCTTGAAACCTAAATATCTCAGAGTGAAAATATTTCACAAGTGTCATAATTTTCAGATTTTACTAAATCTTTAATTAAACATAAAAACTCTTTAAATCCTCTTAAATGTAATAGTAAGCTTTTCAGATGTTTAGGTTTTTTTATTTTTTTAATTTTTTTTTTTATTTTTTAACAGGCAGAGTTAGATAGTGAGAGAGAGAGACAGAGAAAAAGGTCTTCCTTCGTTGGTTCACTCCCCTAATGGCCACTACAGCAGGCGCTGCACCAATCCGAAGCCAGGAGCCAGGAGCCAGGTGCTTCCTCCTGGTCTCCCATGCGGGTGCAGGGACCCAAGCACTTGGGCCATCCTCCGCTGCCCTCCCGGGCCACAGCAGAGAGCTGGACTGGAAGAAGAGCAACCGGGACTAGTACCCGGCGCCCCAACTGGGACTAGAACCCAGGGTGCCGGCGCCACAGGCGGAGGATTAGCCAAGTGAGCCACGGTGCCGGCCGAGATGTTTAGTATTTTGATTAAAACTTTTTCACCCAAAAAAGGGCTATGAACTTTCTCTAAATATATTTTAATAAAATTACTTCTAACTATAGTTACAAAAGTCTTGTTCTTCTGCACAAATCATTTTGGTCTGAAGCTCTCCAGGAAGTATAAACCAGTAGTGTTGATCTTAAAATCTGATATGAACTGATTTAAACTGAGTCACTAAAATTAGGGGTTATAGTAACGTTGCTACTTATGAAATCAAATTCTGTAAGTGAATAATATTGTATTTTTTAATGCAGCACTTTAAAATATCACTTAAAATTGTAATATAATTTGTTAAATTATTAGAGTTAAAAGACAGTATTAAAGTAAAAGACTGAAAGAAACTGTTACATGCTAAAAATTTTCACCCAAATTTAATTCTTTCAACAAGGCAATAAATCTAAGTAAACACTACATACCTTATATTTACAGTCTTCACCAGCAGATAAAATAAGATCATTGACTGAGTTCCAATCTACTTTCAAAATAATGCCATCATGAGCTTTCCACTGTGAGAAAATAAAAGATGTTAATCATAACTTTAAAAGCACTAAAAGAGAAGACATCTTTGCTTCTTTCTAATCACTCTCTTACCATCTCTTCAGGGATTTCTATAGTTTTTTCAAAGTCACTGTGCAATACCTCATTTACTTGTGTCATTTCTAATTTATGCTAATGAAAGCACCTAGCACCATGACATCTACCACATAGCTTACATCCTTATGAATTTCTCAGTTGCTTGACTTCCAGATGGAAAATCGCTTGCTGTGGAACTATTTCAAGCTTGATATTTCTGTGATAATGTTGGAATTAACATGTTATCCACTTCAAAACATCAGCTGAATCAAACCTTGCTATCGCCTTTGTCAGTTGATCCCAGTACTGATACTGCAGTCATGCATGTTTACTAATTCTCTTCTCTTTTTCCTTTTCACTGCAAGAATACCTTCTTTAACACTCTTTCATTCTTTTCTGCTTATTCCCTTTCACTCTTTTTATCTACATACATCTGGTTCATAACTTCACTACTTTGAGAATCTTCTGCTGCATTTACCATTTAAAAAAAAGATGTCTTTCATTGATGAGTATATTATACACAACACACACACACACATACTTACACACATGTGTGTGTTTTTTTAAAAAGTTCATGGAACATGCGTTATGAAAAAAAACTAAGCATTGGGGCCAGCGCTGTGGCGTAGTGGGTTAAGCTGTTGCCTGCAGTACAGGTGTCCCATATGGGCACCAGTTCAAGACCCAGCTGCTCCTCTTCCTGTCCAGCTCTCTGCTATGGCGTGGGAAAACAGTAGAAGATGGTCCAAGTGCTTGGGCCCCTGCACCCACGTGGGAGACCAGGAAGAAGCTCCTGGCTCCTGGCTTTGGATTGGCCCAGCTCCGGCCGTTGCTGCCAACTGGGGAGTGAACCAGAGGATGGAAGACTCTCTCTCTCTCTCTCTCTCTTCCTCTCCTTCTCTCTCTGTGTAACTCTGACTTTCAAATAAAATAAATAAGTCTTTAAAAAGAAAAAAGAAAAAAAACTAAGCATTGTTTTGCACCAAAATAAACTTATCTTTTATTTACTTATATATTTACATTTTATTTCAAAGGCACAGTTGTGGGGGTGGTTGCATCTGTTGGTTGACCCCCTAAATGGCTGCAAACACAGCAGCCTGTAACACCATCTGTCTCCCTTTGGTTGGCACTTGGGTCATCTTCTGGTGCTTTTCCCAGGCCATTAGCAGGGAGCTGGATTAGAAGTGGAGCAGCCAAGACTTGAGTCAGAGCCCATATGGGATGCTGGCATTGCAGCTTAATCCACTATGCCACAATGTCAGCCCCTGAACTTATCTTTTAATTCAATTTTTTCCTCATAAAATGCATATGTGAATATATGTAATTCACCCAGAAATTGGCAATCTAGAAAGAAAGCATGAAGGTCTTCCTCTTAAACGTATTTCATATACTCTTTAACTACCATGATGCATGGAATTAAAAGCTACCATAGACAGAATAATACAACTAAAAAGAATTAACTTTCCTCAAAACCTTTAACTTATATTTTAATGTCTGAGTCAATTAACCCTATATCAAAGGATGATAGAGTTTTAATGAATTTCCAAAAAGACCTTTCTAAATCCATTGTTCTTTTTTTTAAAGAAAAAGTTTATTCATTTGAAAGGCAGAGCAATAGAGAGAGTGTGTGTGGGGAAGGAGGGGAGATGGGGGGAGAGAGAGAGAGAGAGAGAGAGAGAGAGAGAGATTCCATCTTCTTGTTCACTCCCCAAATGGCAGCAACAGCCAGGTCTGGGATACACAGAAGCCAGGAACCAGGAACTCCACCCTCGTCTCTCACATGTGTGGAAAGGACCTTCCATTGCCTTCCCAATCTCTTATTCTTAATATATACAGGATAAAATATTAAATTCAGGTCAACTAAGCTCTAAGAATAAGCAACAACCCATAGTTTGCTTTATACAAAATATACAAAACTAAACATTTCAAAAACAAATGTTTCAAAATGCATGTTAGAAAGCAGTAATTCTGGGGTGCCCATGACCATTGTGGTTAAGACTCCACTTCAGATGCCCATATCCCATATCTGACTGTCTGAGTTCAAGTCTTAGCTCTACTCTCAATTCTACATTTCTGCTAATGTACATCTTGGGCAGCAGCAAGCGAAGTCTGAAATACTTGGGTCCTTACCACCCATCTGGGAGATCCAACTGGGTCACCTTCCGCAGCTTTCCTAGGTGCATTAGCGGGAGCTGGATTGAAAGTAGAGTACCCTGGACTCTTAAACTACAATTTAGGATGTCAACTTGCATACTGAATATAACAGATAATTTTCTATTGGTTCTCAATTTATTAGGCATTTTGTCAAATTCCTTTAAGCCATAAAAAGCTCTTTTGTAGGCAAGAACATTGCTTCACTTCGAGTACCTTGTACCTAGCATTGTGCCTGGTGTATCATAGTTTTGTACTACATTTTTTAGTGAATGAATAAATAAACAAGTTTCCTTCTATAAAACCAAATTCTCAGTGTCTAGGAGGTCTTAAAGGAAATGAAGTATATATTTCTGAACTGCTTTCCACAAGAAAGACTTAAGCATTCCTTTTTTGTGGACATTCCAAATTTCAGTATGTGTGTATACTTAAGGATTATTGAAGCTTTAGTTTCCTAAGAGGCATAGATATTTGCCTTAAGTTACTAATTACACTATTTTACTCTGGCTGAATTTTGGTGGTGGAAGCTTTTCCTTTCCCTCACTATACCCTGGTCCCCATGTCCTACTGAAGAACTTAATTGTATTTTAATTAATCAATGATGATAAAAGCAGTTTCCTGAGTTTCAGTCTAATGGCAAGTATCTAACAACATTCACCTAACTATAAATTAAAGCTATGAACTAAAAGATTCAACTTGCCTGTTTTTGCTCTATAATTTCATGGCAGATTTCCAGGTATAAGAAATAGGTTTGGGGTCCGGTGCTGTGGCACAGCAAGTTCAGCAGCCATCTGCAATGCCAGCATCCACATGGGCGCTGTTCTGAGTCCTGGCTACTCTATTTCCAATCCAGCTCCCTGCCTGGGAAAGCAGCAGAGGAAGGTCCAAGTGCTTGGGCCCCTGTACCCACATAGGAGACCCAGATGAGGTTTCTGGCTCCTGGCTTTAACCTGGCCCAGCCCTGGCCATTGTGGCTATTTGGGGAGTGAACCAATGGATGGAAAATCTCTCTGTCTCTCCCTCTCTCTAATTCTTTCAAATAAATAATTAAACCTTAAAGAATATCTGCTTTGGAGAGACTTTGACCAAAGGCAATCAGAATTGCTCTTTCCCATAATTATCTCTTTGCCTAAATTCTTTACCTTAGTAAGGTAAGAGCAAGAATTTGCATCTTTTTTTAATGTTTGTTCCAATAATTCTTAGCAGAGTGTTCTACATGCAGCAAAAACATACATATATGTTAATTATATGAAATTATGTATATAACATAATCTAGGGCTAATCCTCCACCTGTGGCGCCGGTACTCCGGGTTCTAGTCCTGGTTGGGGTGCCAGGTGCTTGTCCCGGTTGCTCTCAGTCTAGCTCTCTGCTGTGGCCCAGGAGGGCAGAGAGGGATGGCCCAAGTGCTTGGGCCCTGCACCCGCATGGGAGACCAGGAGGAAGCACCTGGCTCCTGGCTTTGGATCGGCGCAGTGTCAGCCATAGCGGCCATTAGGGGAGTGAACCAACGGAAGGAAGACCTCTCTCTCTGTCTCTCTCTCACTGTCCATGACTCTCTCTCTGTCTCTCTCTCTCTCTCACTGTCTAACTCTGCCTGGCAATAAATAAATAAATAAAATTTAAAAAATAATCTATATACAAGTTACTAATTTGGAACCTCAAAGTCACTTCTATCTTCTTAATCCTTGAAATGTATATCAATGTTTACATCTGCTGCCGATGCTGCTACTTTTTTTTTTTTTTTTACAGGCAGTTAGACAGTGAGAGAAAGGTCTTCCTTTTTCTGTTGGTTCACCCCCCAAGTGGCCGCCACGGCTGGTGTGTTGTCGCCAGCGTGCTGCGCCAATCTGAAGCCAGAAGCCAGGTGCTTCCTCCTGGTCTCCCATGGGGTGCAGGGCCCAAGCACTTGGACCATCCTCCACTGCATTCCCGGGCCACAGCAGAGAGCTGGACTGGAAGAGGAGCAACCGGGACAGAATCCGGCACCCCAACCGGGACTAGAACCCAGGGTGCCGATGCCGCAGGTGGAGGATTAGCGTAGTGAGCCACGGCGCCGGCCACTGCTACTTCTTAAAACACTTTTGTATCTGCTGTAACCCATCCATCTCTACTCCCAAACTTTTACCAGGTCCACTCTCTCTATACTTTTTTTCTATCCTGACTGACTAAAAGGTAGGGTTGACTTACTCACTAATTATAATATCAATTATAATTGCTCTGTATTGAGTGCTTATGGTATGCACTGTCCTATGCACTTTGGAATTTAAATCATTTAGTCCTCATTAAAATTATGTTAAGTAAGTATTATTATTACCAACTAAGGGATGAGAAAGCTGATGTTCAAACATGTTACAAAACTTGCGGCTGGCGCCGCAGCTCAATAGGATAATTCTCCGCCTGTGGCACCGGCACACCGGGTTCTAGTCGTGGTCGGGGCGCTGGATTCTGTCCTGGTTGTCCCTCTTCCAGTCCAGCTCTCTGCTGTGGCCCGGGAGTGCAGTGGGGGATGACCCAAGTACTTGGGCCCTGCACCCGCATGGGAGACCAGGAGAAGCACCTGGCTCCTGGCTTCGGATCAGTGCGATGCGCCGGTCGCAGCATGGCAGCCGCGGCGGCCATTGGAGGGTGAACCAACGGCAAAAGGAAGCCCTTTCTCTCTCTCTCTCTCACTGTCCAATCTGCCTGTCAAAAAAATAAAAAAAATAAAAAAAATAAAAAAATAAAACTTGCCTAATGGCACACTTAGGTAAGTAAAAATGGCGACCCAAGTGACTATCTCTAAAGTCTGTTTTCTTATTACTGAAACTACATCATGTTATTATCAAAATGTGAAGAAAATCATTCTGGCTTTTAACATTGGAATCAAAATCAAATTTAAAAAACCCTGGATATAGGCTGAAAGGTTTTCTGTTCCTTTGTCCCAGCTAACCATTCTTAACTGCCACTACTATACTGTTGCCTTTGTGTGGTTATCAGTTTGCCATTTTCTCTCACATTTCTGAACAACTATTTTTCTTGATCCCTGAACTTAGAACAACCACCTACCTTCCACCTTCAAAATTCAGCTTCTTCAGAGCCATGTGTTTGGCCTAGCAGTTAAGACACTGCCCGTTAGGATGCCCACATCCCATTTCGGGAGTGCCTGGGTATGAGTCCCTGCTCCCCTCCTGATTCCTGCTTCCTGCTAATGTATATCCTGGGAAGCAGCAGATGATGATGATTCAAGTAGCTGTGCCACCGATAGGGGAGACCTGAACTGAGTTCCCGGATTCTGGCTTTGGCCCTAAAGCCCTAGCCATTGTGGGCATTTAGGGAATAAACAGTGGATGAAAGCTCTGTCTCTGCCTCTGGTCTCTCTGTCTCTCAAATAGATAAATAAGTTTATATTTTAAAGATTCAGTTTCTAACTTAACTCTTTTCCTTTTTGAACAACAGAAAAGAAAATGTGAGCCCACCATTTAAGATAAATATTCTATATATACTTGGTAAAGTTTTATGCTCACAAAATTTGTTCCAAGTATTATATTGACTCCTCCACTCTAAAAATACTAAAAGAATGCAGAACTCTTAGAGTTCAAGTGTTTGAACAGAAAATGATTGATGATGATGACGAAAAAAACAAGATCTAAGCAAGCTCTTAACGTTTTATGATTTAGTTCTGTTTTGTTTCAAATCTATATATTTGTGGCTGACTCTGCTAAATTTAAAGATGACTATTTGTGCCAAATCATGCAACAATTTAGTAACTGAAAACATCTTTGTGATTTACTGGTATCATGTGAGTTCAACTAAGGGGGAAATAAACCTTGTTGAAAACAGATATTTTCTGCATGCAATAAAGGCTGATAAAACCACACACTTAGAGGCCTCAGACTGTAAAAAAGACCACCCAGAAGAAAGGGACTCCTTAAACAACTGCCCTCTAGTTCAGCAGTCAGGCAAATCCTGATAACAATTTACAAATGCCTGAGAAGTACCTGTAAAACTTTAGCATTCGGTTGAAGAGGTTTAATGATCAGCTGCTTGCCTGCTGTGTAAAGAACCTTTTCTGAATCAGGGCCCCACGCTACTGAATACACTGGTGTTCCTGTAAAAAGGAAGAGAAAAAATACTAAAAATTTAGTTATTATGCCCTACAAAAGGGGAGATTGTGAGGAAGATCAAAACAAGTAAATTGGGATATTATTTCATTTTCTCCTTATTCAATGGCCCTTTCAGATGGGAGTAAAGTCTGATACTGATACATATACATAATTTAATATAAAGTTAGTTAATTCTTTAAGATACAAAGAGATATAAGAAAAGTCATGGTGTATCATTTCTCATCATCAACAGTCATCAATACTTAAGATGACTCAGTGCTTAAAATGACATTTGGGGAGTGAACCAGCTGATGGAAGACCTTTCTCCTTGTCTCTCCCTCTCACTGTCTTTAACACTACCTCTCAAATAAATAAATAAAATCTTAAAAACAATACATGTTACACTCATCTTATAAATTAATTCCCATCAATCAACAGTCCTCTCACCTGCTGCTGAAGCAGTAGTCTAACAGACAGAAATCACCCCACCTCAAAATGATACACTCCTCCTACCTATAAATTCATGAATAGCAAGTTAAATATCAGATTAGGGAAAGTTTGGTATCTATCAGGTGTGGCATTAGCCTGAAAGTTAATCTAGAAAGAACTCAAGAATCCTATAATAAAGATACAGATGGCTCTACTTCCAGAGAAAAAATACATTTGAGTTACCTACCATACCATAAACCACATTAAATTTATTACTGTTTTCAATTTCTAATAGGAATTTAGAGAAGGTATTTTTTAACTTTATTACATTTAAAGAGAGTATTTCTTAGCTTTATTACTTTCTAGATTACCTACTATATCTCCCGGAAGGCTATACTTTATGTGAACCTAGTTTTAACAAATGAATACCATATGCATTGAAAGCATTGGTTATAATCTATTAAATTTGTTTGGCTCAGGTACCAAGGGTGAATCAAGGGTAAACAATTAAGCTATGAAATATTAACCAACTTACAATTACAAAAACAAGCTTTTTAAAATTATGTAGGATCCTAAATCAAACTATTGTAGTAATTGACTTTCTGTGAATGACAACAATTCTTTCAGAAATTTAGAAACTCAGTAAAATAAAATCTGAATTTGAGGATTTATAGGAAATCAATAAGATTTATATATTTGAACAGCAACGGGGTGGGGGGAGAGAAAGGGAGAGAGAGAGAAAGAGGAAGAGAGAGAGAGAGATAGATTTTCATTCCATTGGTTCACTCCCAGATGCCCACAACAGCCCAGGCTGGGCCAAAGTGAAGCCAGGAGCCAGGAACTCCAAATAGATCTCATGCAGATAGCAGAAACCCAAGCCATTATCTGCTGCCTTCCCAGATGCATTAGTCGGAAGCTAGATCAGAAAAGTCTGAATAGCTGGGACTGACCAGGTACTCAGATTTGGTATTTGAGAGGCTCAAGCAACTGTTTAACCCACTGTACCACAATGCCAGCCCCAATTGTAAGTTTTAATTCTTTATTTAAATAAAAACCCCAACTGATACTATAATCAGCAGGGCGTAAATGAGTAAGTTTAAAGACAAATGCTTTTCCTGAAGTAGCCCCCTACGTCTTTTGTACCATTTTCTCTCCAATCAGAACATACTTCAATTTTTGAGTAAGTGTAATAGTTTAAAGGGCTTAGACAGTCTAGTGTAGACTTGGTCAAAGAATCCATGAAGCATGCCTTCTACCGTTTAATTAGATGTTCTGAAAATCCAAATATCCTGTTCAGTCAATGACATCTAAGATTGTTTTGTATCAAAACAACCCACAGAAATTCTACCCAATGATATGAACAAACTCAGAAAGCACTTCTCTACTTGATAGTTACATTCTCTTAGCTTGTTTGCTGGGAGTAACAAGAACTGACCTGGAATTCAAAAGTAAATATCCCAATAAACAGAATTCAAACTTTAATAAACTCCCCAGAAAATTAAAGCAAAATTGCAGATATTTCAATTCTGGTACTTGGTGAGGACTAAAAGGAAGTACAGGAAAAATTTTATTATTATTATAGTGTCCTCTTAATTTCCATTAATATAGTTTTAAATTTTGTGCAGAAAAGTAAATGAATATTCAATTTATAGTTATCAAGGGTGAGCATTGTAGCTCAGAGGATGGAGCCACCGCCCATATCCCATATGACCACCAGTTTCACAAGCTGGCTGCTCCACTTCCAGTCCAGTTCCCTGCTAATGCAGGAAGGCAGTGAGAGATGGTACAAGTGCTTGAACCCCTGCTACCCACGTGGGAGACCTGGATGGAGTTCCAGGCTTTGGCTTGGTCCAGGCCTGGCTGTTGTGGCCATTTGGGGAGTGAACCAATGGGTAGAAGATCTCTCTCTCTCTCTTTCTCTTTGTAACAGCCTTTTAAATAAATGAAATATATCTTTTAAAAAATTTATAGCTTGAAAAATCTTTATGAGTATTCAGTAAAGCACTCTTTATGGGGCATATATTAAAGTAAGACAAAGATCTACCTTCAAGGAAATAATTCAGTAAATACAACTCCCATTCAGTTATACAGGATGTAACTAGGCCTTCATTTGTGGTAAAAGGCACAGTTGAGGTATAGGATGAAAAGCTAGGGATGCTTTTGTCCTCTAACATTTAATTTGAGGCCCCAGTAAGTCAGCTGTGTCACCATTTCCTTGTTTATAAACCTTTCAAATACTTATCTTCCCTGTTGGGACAAGGAGACAACTCATTTCCTGCTTATAAAACATTTTTTTAGACAACAATAATAATGTTAAAGAAACGGTATGATGCATAGTACAAAACAAAATAAGCTTACAGAGCAAAAATTAAATAATTCCTTTTTTATAACATGCTTTTATCACTCAAAATATAAACAATGTAAACAAACATGAGGTTTTATATGGCAAACAAGCAACCCTAAATAAAATCAGTAGCTTCTGAAAACTACTATATATGTGAATGTTTTTCTTTCAAAAGGAGATATGCCACATAACTATACAGCTTCCAATCTGGGCAGTTCTTCTGAAGATCATTATTGAAAATGGATGTATTAGTTTTACAAAAAATTATTTCTGTAAGCTTATTGTAGAAAGGTTAAATGATTCCTTTGTTATGACACATGGTATTAAATCCTTCTATTAGCATTTAAAACAAATTCATATTTACAATGTTTTTGAAAACTGACTTATTAAAGTATGAATTATTTCCAGTAAAATCAGTTATGGAAATAACAAAGCTAGCCTTCAGATCAAATTACTTTAAAACAAAAAGTTTAGAAAATTATGTAATACTATAATCATTTCATCATTAGCAAAAATGAGTAAAAAATAAAATATCATTTTATAATAATTAAATAATTTCTTGAGTTTTATATTGGGAATTTTATTTATGCTCCAATTCTGTTAAGACACTCAAAAAGATCTTGTTTTTCTGACTTTGTACACTAAACTCATGTGACCTTTTTGACATTTTTTAAGAAACCACATGCACCTGGGGTTGTGTTAAATGTCAGACCCTTATCTCTCTGTAAAACAAATTATCTAAATTCTTTCAACCTGTTGAAGGCATTTTTAAACCACAGAAGAGGAGACAAAAATGTATCTCAATTGTTTTAAGGAAGTACATGGTCAAATATACTATGTTTTTCACATTCACACTATAAAAGTATCGCCTAAAAATATTGTTTTTGTATGTTTTTAAGAATGCTTTTGAACAAACTGTTGACAATTACAATAAAGCATTAGCTATCCTTGCCTGGAAAGCAACACAGGTCTATACTGAGTGAATAAAAAAAGTAAAATACTTCCTGAAGCTTGGCACTATAAAAGTACTACTGGGTAGTTACTACTGTTAGAGAGTACTTTCAAATGCAATAAACAACAATTTGGCCCAACAACAGATAATCAAGTGGGATATATGCAAATAAACACTTTTTTTGGTTATATGTGTCACTTGATCAATACAAGAAAAACTTTAAATAAAGGCATTTGTTTCTTCAGTGTCTATCCTTAGTCACCTCTCCCTTGGGGATCTCAACATCCCCCCAGAGCTTACTTTTCACCTTACATAGAACTGACTCCCAACTTAGTATGGTAGCCTTTGCCCCTGAGCTTTTTTTTTTTAATTTTTGACAGGCAGAGTGGACAGTGAGAGAGAGAGACAGAGAGAGAAAGGTCTTCCTTTGCCGTTGGTTCACCCTCCAATGGCCGCCGCTGCAGCCGGCACACCGCGCTGATCCGATGGCAGGAGCCAGGATCCAGGTGCTTTTCCTGATCTCCCATGGGGTGCAGGGCCCAAGCACCTGGGCCATCCTCCACTGCACTCCCTGGCCATAGCAGAGAGCTGGCCTGGAAGAGGGGCAACCGGGACAGAATCCGGCGCCCCAACCGGGACTAGAACCCGGTGTGCCGGCGCCGCAAGGTGGAGGATTAGCCTACTGAGCCACGGCGCCGGCTTGCCCCTGAGCTTTAACACATTTCAACTTGCACCTGAGATATCTCCATACTAGAACTTCAAACTCTACATATTCAAAGCCATCATCACTCCATTAATATTCTCTATTTTATTCCTCTCTCTGAATTCTTTACCCCTTATTGGGTATCCATCCATCCTTCTCAAAACTGGAACTAGTATTCATGTTTTTCAACTACTGCTGTCATTGCCTCTGTTTAAGCTTAATCAACACTAGTACAGAACCTTTCAGTAACCTCCTTATTACCCACCTCCAATTCATTTCTATCTCCTCTAATTTATCCAAAATATCACCACTAAGGTAATCTTCCTAAAAGACATCCATTATCACATACTCTCCAGCTCAACTTATTTTTAGGGTTTTGAATGCTTAAAGAATAAACTTTAAGCCCCTTGATTCAGCATGCAGGGTTGTCAGTCAGTATCTCAGTCTCTTTGGCAGAACTATCCCTCACATAGCCTGTATTCTGGCCCATGGAAGCTTCTTCCCATACACCTGACTTCCCTGCCTGCTTTTCTTCAGTCTCTATGCCTCTGATCAGGTTCCCATAGTTCCATTCTAA